ATCCTTCCTCTAGGTCAGAGACTCCAACAGCTGCAGTTTACATCTTGTCCTTTTTGCTCATTGAACAATTCTTCTACTTGTTTTGGAATCTTGTAGTCACGCTGCTTTCTGTAGAGCTTCTGACACAAACAGAAGCTTGAGAAGCTGCCAGGGCTTTTCCTCCTGGCTAGATGGTCAAAACTGGCATCCCCTGCACTATGTTACATTGGCAGGTGTAAATTGGAAAACCCCATCTAGGCCCCCAGAACCTCCTTTTGATGGACATTTACTCTGTCTTGAAGTTGCACTCCATTCATCATGGGATGCTGGGTAAATCCATCGTTATTAGTGACGATGATGACTTACCATAGGTGAATAATATCAACATTTTCATAATCCAAATAAACTGATAGTAGGATTTCTAGTATACTAATCAGAAATGTATATACTTGAAATTTTGCAAAAACATTCTTTCTGAGCTTATAACTTTTCTAATTGATTTTGTGTAAGGACAATTGAGTTCCATTTCACGAAATCCAAAAGCTGATGCATGGGAAAGGCTGTGACATTGTAGATGCACTAAAGCAGTGAGGACTTGTATGGCAACACTGTCTAACAGAACTTGACCTACACTTGGCCTCATCCACATGGCAGAGACTCCCAGGGGTGACTCTCCCTTTACCAAGGAGAAGACAGAAACGTGAAGCAATGTTCTACCACACAACACAACGCACACTCTGCTGGGTACCCACGAATGCTTGGCCCTGCATGAAACACTGGAGTTTAGGATAGAACACATGGAGCCAGCTTACCCCACAGTGGGCTAACCCACCCGTCCACACCTGAAGGCTATTCCGGTTCTGTCAGGGCAGCTATGCTGTTGGTTTGCTAAGAGTTACAATTGCAACATTTCTATTTTTCTGGCTCCTGCTTGCAGTGACACTGCAGAAAAAAATAAGTTGCTTTCACACCCTATGGGGTGTCAAAGTCTCCAACATAGGGAACATTTAAAAAGGTACTGCAAAAATTTAATGGAAAATGACACAAAAAGTTAAGTCTCTTTTGGTGCAAAAATACTGAAATTCATGTTTGTTTTTTGCAAGACATATCTTTCGAAAATTATTTTTAAGATCTTCAATTGAGAAGTTCTCTTGGAGGAGATACTTTTTCTGGCAACCGAGATGTTTATGATTTAAGTCACAAGACAGGAAAGCCAAACTTCAGTGTTTAGGTATTTTGGCCCGGTGGTTCAGCCATATCCTAGGACTTGTCCAAGCATTGAGCTGGGAGACTTTTGGAGGAACTACCCTGACCCTCTGATCATCTTCTATTTATAGAGTCATGCTTTGAGCTTGCCTCCTTCTGGTCTGGACACTCTTACCTGAACCCCCAACAGGTGGGTGTGCAGGTAATCAAGCACCCTTCGAAATTACAGGCTTCAGAAAAGAGTGCAGAATCCATTTAGCAGATCACAATGAACACCTTCATTTTAATAAGATATAATAGAAGTTCAGGCTCTAGTGTTTACAGGAAGAATAAGTATGATTTCATGAGAATTTATTTATATGCACTTATATGTATCGTGAGTTGCAATGTGAAATCTATTTCTTATTTAGGGCTAGTGTTTAAAATCTTTGTGTAACACTTGTCCAGGACTTGACTTTGACCTGTAAGGAGTTCAGAGCATAAATGCTGGACCACACTGCTCAAGTTTGAATTTCAATTCTGTTATTTGCTAGCTGTGTGACTTGGAACATATTACTTAACCTTTCTGTGTTAGGATTCTTTTTTAATGCATTTCATATATGTGGTATGAAAATAATAATGTGTCATTGAGTTGATCAGGGGATCCAGTCATATAAAATGTTTAGCACCATTGCTGTCACATAGTAAATGGCTTGTACAAGAAAGCATCTGCTCCCTGCTGTGAGAGTTTAGCTTAGTGGTTAAGGAAGGGGCTTGCCTCCCACTCCAATGACCTGGGTTTGCCTCCTGGAATCGGCTGTTGAATCCAGATTCTTGCCCATGTGCCCCAGGAGGCAGTGCTGATAGCTCATAGAATTGGGTTCCTGCCCCCCATGTGGACAACAACATTCAATTTCCAGCTTCTGCATGGGTAGTCCTGGCTCCTGAGGGGTTTGAGGGAGTGAGCCAGTAGATGAGAGCTTTGTCTCTCTCTATTTGTTACTCTCTGTCCCTTCAATATTTTTTTTTTAAAAAAACAAAACACTTTGGTTCCTCAAGTATATATTTTTAACATCGAGTCAGTACAATAAAGTCCCTTTGCTATGAGTATTTGTTGTCTTATCTATACAAGGGCCTGAAACACCTGTCTGTTCTGAGTAGCATCATTCTGGACTGCTGCAGAAGAGTGCCCTGGAAGCTGCCTATCGGGCTCAGGCCGCACAGCTCCATCAATTGCTGGGCTCTGTGACCTTGGGCAAGCTAGCTATGGATTCCCAGTGTTTTTGCCTTTTCTATTTTAAACATAAAGTTATGTATTTGAAATGCAGAGTTACAAAAATAGAGAGGGAGAAGGAAAGACTGAGAGACTAGCTTCCATCTGCTGGCTCACTCCCCAAATGGGCACAAGGACAGGGCTGGGCCAGGGTAGAGGCGGGAAAGCCTAGGAATGCTTCCAGGTCTCCCAAGTAGATGGCAGGGGCCCTTGCACTCGGGTCATATTCCACTGTGTCCTAGGTACAGTAGCTGGGGGCTAGATGGGAAGTGGAACAGTAGGACTTAAATAAGCTCCCATATGGGATGCTGGCATTGCGGCTGCTACCCACAATGCTGGTTCTGTGGTTCTGAATTTCTTAATCAATACAGTGGGACCGATTGGCTCTGTCTTTAAAGTTGTTGCCAGGAAGAAATCAGACCATCCGTAGGTGCTCATAGGGCCCAAGCAGCAGTAACTAGTAGCATTGCTGCTGCTGACAATGCAGACCCACATCCTTGTTCTTTTTGTTCAGGTGGGTCAGCAGCCACACCTGTTCTTTTCCGCGACTGGCCCTGGTGAATCAACCACACACGGGCTCGCACAGTCTTCGTGATAGGAAAGCCATTGTGAGGTACAGGGCTGGATTCGGTCCACCCCACTGTGCTCTCTCTTCATCCTGGCTCTCACCACTTAGCTCAGTCACCGTCATTGTCTTTTGGCCTCTGCAGGTCCGGCCTTCTCTGTGGCTGATCCTAAAGTGTCACAAGGCTAAGCCTGCCAGCTGGGGAAGTCCGGTGTGTCGCGTGGTTGCCTGCAGCAACCGCATCTCACCTGGCTGCTTTCGCCTTCCTCTTTGAGTGTAGGCGGATGGGGATGCTGCTCAGGGTACAGTGATGTCCAGGAGAGCCCTGTTGAGTGGGGCTGTGAACACAGCCTAAAAGGGCTCCTCAGCTGAAGGGCTTTGCACAGGAGTCCTTCAGCTCGTACGCACATTTGACAAAAACCGCTCTGACAAAGAAAAATAAAGGGGCATTCTGGAAGACCCCTGAGCGGGTTGGAGCTGCTATGACTGGTCTGTTAGTCTCCTCTTTCCCCACAGCAGGGTGTTGCCCGTGGCGCTTCAGGGGGGGTGCTTTTCAACAAGAAGAATGGAGCTGTTCTCCGCAGGCTCAGTCCCTGCCTTGACCACAGGCTCCCACAGGACCTGCCTCTTCCTCTCTGTAGCCATGCAAGCCCTTAGCACACGCCTCTGGTTCAAGGGAGCGCCTGGATCACACCACGCCAGCCACAGAATAGGATCAGAGCTGAAGGCGGGGGAGGAATCAGAGGCCTTTCAGGCGATTCTAAAGCTTTCTCTCCTAGCTCCCAGGGGTAAGAAACAGGCAGCGCATCTCACTGATTTGCCATCCAGGGCTGGGAGAAAGTCAGTAGAATGGCCATGAGAAGACAAGAGTTAGGGCCACAGACGGTTTTCCCATCCAGCAGGGGCGTCCCTTGCCTATTTTCCTTTCCTCTAAAAGCTGCAAGTCTTAGACTCTCTTTTTTAAAAAAAATTTATACACAGCAACCAGGGCAGCACATAGTCTCTTGGGAGCACTCCCACGGGTCCCAGGCTTCTGCCGATGTCTCCTATAGATTCAAGATTTGCTCTGACGCCCTTTTGGCTCAAGGCCAGCCAAGACCCGTCTAAACGTTTCCATTCACACTCGAGAAACTGACACGCCGGAGCTAAAGCAGAATAGAGCGGACAAGCGAGATCGTCTGGGTTGATACCACAAAGTTTACTCCTTCCTTGCACCCCTCTTGTCCCCTAGCACGTGGTGCGTGTGTGTGCGCGCGACCGTGCGTGTCTCCTTTCAGCCTAGAAAGCCCCCCCCCCCTTTTTTTTTTTCTTTTTCTGGCTAGTTTCTCCCATTCCACTTTTTCCAGATAAGGTTCAGTTCTTGGCCCAAGGTGTCTCCACCCCCTCGCCGTCTCCCTCTGCCGTCCGACCCGCGGCCCTCACTCCCCTGCTAAGGTCGCGCGGTGCGGCCCTTCGCTCCGATTCCCCGCTCCACGGCGGGCCGGCTCCAGACCCGCGCGCTGCCCGCCTTGCACGGCAGCGGGACTCGGTGGCCGCGCCCCGGCCCCGCCTTCCCTACCTGGCGCCCGCGCGGCCGTGGGAGCCGCAGCCTCCGCCCACCGGCGCTCCTGCCCTGCCATTGGCTCCCCGGGCTGCCCGTCTCCTCCGCTCCGGCCCGGGAGGCAGGTTTTGTCGGAGAAGCCCGCAGTCCCGGCGGCTCGGGCGCAGCGCGACAACACCGTGGCGCGCCGCTCGCGGTCCGAAGCGGGCATGTCCCTGCGCGCGGGAGCCCCTGACGACCCCTCGGGCCCGAGCGCCGTCTAACTTGGCGGTGGGCTCCTGGGGCCCCGCTGCCGTCATGTAGTAGCTTGCCGGGGGGCTCCCCTCAGCCCGCAAAGCGGCAGCGCCAGAGAGCCGGAGCCACAGAGCCGGGCAGCCCCGCGGCTTTCCCCCCCGGAGGCGCCGAGTGCACGCCGCGCCTCACCGGCCCGCGGGCAGCACTTTGGGCACGAGGGGGACATGGGGGAGAAAGTTTCGGAGGCGCCGGAGCCCGTGCCCAGCGGCTGCAGCGGCCACAGAAGCCGGAGTGCCGCGCCGACGGCGGCCAGTGCCGCCGAGTCCTCGCCCGGCGCTTCCTCCGCCGAATCTTCCTCAGGCTCAGAAACTCTGTCGGAAGAAGGGGAGCCCGGCGGCTTCTCCCGCAGGCCGCCGCCACCGCCACCGCCGCCGCCGCCGGGAGGCTCCCTGGGCACCCGGCCGCCCGCCTCGTGGGCTCCGGTGCGCACGCTGCTGGACCGCGGAGTCCCTGCCCGGCCACCGGTCCCTGGAGGAGCCGCGCCGCCTGCGCCCCGGGGCAGCAGCGCGTCCCAAGAGGAGCAGGATGAGGAGGTGGGCCGGGCGTTGGGAGGCGGCGTACCGGGGCACATAGACGGGGAGGGACCCTGGGCGCTGTGCTTCGTGCCGGGCTGTGACGGGTCGGAGGCTACTGTGGGTCGTGGATTCCCGCGGGGCCTGAATGGCTATATGCGGGGGTGTGCGTCCATGTGCTGCCTGCGGACGTGTGCTTATTAAAGTGTCAGAGCGGCCAAGCGCTGGATGGGGGGGTTCTGCGCTCGGGTGGCCGAGAAGGGCGCGATCTGGACGCCGGGCGTGTTCGCGCGGCAGACGTGCTTCTCTAAAGTGGGCGTTGCTCACCCGCGGCATGCGTGGGCCGGGGACACGGTGGTTAGCGAGCGGGGGCGGTGCGTGGAGGCGGGAGCTGTGCTCTCCGAACGGTCCCGCGGGGTTTCAATAGCACGGCTCCCTGGGACAGAGCCCGCGTCTGGGTCCCCAAAGCCAGCACTCATCCTCCTGTAGCCAGGAGCCCCGGCGCTGGGTGGGCAGGGAGCTGAGCTCCATCGGAGTAGTTTTCAGGACATTGGTGTGAGCGCGCTGCCCAGGGAACCAACCTGGGATGGCTCACCTGTTTCAGGAGGACCGCATCTCCCTGTTTCCTGGGAGGGTGTGTGTCCAGAACGTGTGTGTGTCTCTTCATAATGCGCTGAGCCTGTGACTTTGGTATTCTCCCGGCCGCAACCAGTGGCTTTTATTTGCTTTTGGAAGACAGTTAAAGGAATCCCAAGTTCTTCGTGCCTGGAAGATTGCTCTGTTGTTTTCAGTCATTGGACCGGGCAGGGTCATAAATAAAACATCAGCCTAACCTGGCCTTCTTGTGAAATTTATTCCTCAGCGGCAGAGTGGGATTTTCCTTATCGTTGATGGGGTCAGCTTTAGTAAATAATTGCCTTTGTCTTTAGAGGGAGCGAACTGAGGTCAGAGCCCTGGCAGTAGCTTCCTGGGTCCCCAGACTGGAAGCTAAGACTGGATTTGGGGTAAGGGAAGAGAAGGCAGATCCTGGTCAAGCAGAAATGGAATAAACCCAGGCTGGTCAGTGACCCATTGCTCCGGGTGTAGGGATTCAGAACAGGTGGCTACTGACCTGCTTTCTGTAACTGTCTCTGCTTAGAGGTTAGGAGACCTTGGGACAGTAGGGGTGTTATTTTCCTTTCCTGAGGCCTTGGAGGTCAAGTTCCTTTTCACAGGGATGGTTCTGTTCATTATCAGGAATTTGGGACGGCTCTCAAGTTCCAGCTTGATTGCAGGGGCAGGACTCCAGGAATTCGGTGAGTGCCACACCCTCCTGGACCCAGGTCCTGGCACAGTTGATCAAACCCTGGACCATTCCCCGTGTTCCTTGCCTGTCCCTGTAAGCATGCCAGGTGCTCACCTTGTCGTTTGTGCTTCAACTCTCAGAGATGAGCATATTGCCGCTGGGAAGCTGGGGTGTACACAATGGTTTACTGCCAGACCCTAACACTATGTTGTCGCTAACAGCCCTGTGTTTTCTGATTAGCCAGGAATGTGTTCTATAGGAAAACAACGGCCCGGGTTTGCAGATGGCGGGGAGGGAGTTATGAGTGGCTCACTTTTTATCCCAATTCTGTAGCTCATTTGCTGCCTGGCCTCAGGGTGATGGTGCTTTACTGTCTGCGAAGTGGATATAATGATAGCTTATTTCAGAGGCAGTATGGTGAGGAGTGGCTGATTGAAACACATTTTGAAAGTGGAATGGCTAAATAACATTGGTCACTACTTGTGAAATCCCAGAATTGGATGTAAATGGATACAGCACCACAATTTATTGTGTATCTTAACCTGTGGCGGCAGATGCTTGGAAAGTGGCCAGGAATGAGATTTGGACTTGTCTCAGAATTTTTGAGCTAAAACCAGGTAGGCTTCTCTGCTTTCCGCCATAGAGAAGTGATGGCTTTGCGAGAGGGGCTGAAGGACGGGGTGCGTTTTGTGGTTCTTAGATTGGTGATGATAGGATCTTAACCTGGCAAGGGATGGTGAACCTTTGAGGAATCTTAGGAAAGCTTCTGGCTTCTCTCACAAAGTTTGCCCAGGTATAAATACCACCCTGAGGGCTCAGGGATGCCAGGTGTCAGCTCATTGGGAGCTCCTTGTATTCCTTCCTACTTCTACCACCTTGAGTAGTTGTGTGATCAAGGACCGTTGTATTTCTATAAGCCTCAGTTTTTTCATCTCTTAAGTGGGAGTGAGAGCAATAGCATAGACATTGAGTGCCAAGCAAATATTAGTTATATTAATAGCAAGTCAGACGTATTTATTAGTAGTTGTCAACTTTTATGTTCATTTGTGACAAAACTTTGTGCAGTGGAAATGCAAGGTTGGGTTGTCCTCTTTCTTTCTTTAAAAAAGTATTTTTATTTGAAAGAGTTAAAGAGAGAAGGAAAGACAGAGCCCTTTCACCTGCTGGCTCACTTCCCAAATGGCTGTCACAGCCACAGTTGAGTTGATCCAAAGCCACGAGCCTTTTTCCAGTTGTCCACGGAGGTGTAGGGGCCCAGAACATCCTCTGCTGTTTTCCCAGGCTATATGCAGGGAGGGAGCTGGATCAGAAGTGGAGCAACCACGACGCAAAACCAGAGCCCTCATGGGCCCCTGTACCGTGGATGGGGCATTAGCGTGATAAGCCATGTGAGATGCATACTTCCTTAGTTACTTTTCAAGGATCTGTGGTTGTTTTTTGAGGATACTTCAGAAAGTTCATGCAAAAGTATATTACAAAATGCTGTAAGGAGTTCTCATTTCTTTGCACTAAAACAAACCTATCTTTTAATTCCATGTCCCCAAAAACCCCCAAATTTAAAGTGCCCATATAGTTCCCATTTTCCTCACATAAACTGGAAAACATCTTTTATCTGCCTCAGGTTGTGGCTTTGTTAGTGGACACTGCGTGTAGAGCAGTAAGAGGCTTAAGTGTGGCTCAGAAAGTGGAAAGAAGCTCATTTAGATTTTGAAATTATTATGTCTAGCTTGGGAGATTCATCATTTTCCAAGGTTTTTTTTTGTTTTGTTTTGTTTCGTTTTGTTTGTTTAGTGCAACCTGTTGTATTAACTTTTAAAAAGCACAATTCCAGTTTCTAGTGCTAATTTTTGGACAGCCTGGGTGAAGTGGTTTTGGGTGTTTCTCATAATGTCAGCAGCATTTGATCCATGTAATATTTTATCTCACTTCCAGGAATTGTATAAAATTGCCACGTCTCATTCGTGTAAGTCGGTGTAGTCACCTCGTACTTCTGACTCAGTGTGCGTGATTTTTGCGTTTCAAAAAATTTTTAGGATGTATTTATTTTTACTTGAAAGAGATACAGAGAAGGAGAGGCAGAAAAAATGTTTCAGCTGCTGGTTCACTCCCCAAATGCCACACTGGCCAGAAATGAGCTGATCTGTAGCTAGGAGCCAGGACTTTCTTCCAAGTCTCTCAAGTGGGTGCAGGGTTATCCTCTGCTGCCTTCCTAGGCCATAAGAGGAGCTAAAGGGGAAATGGAGCAGCTGGGACATAAACTGGTGCCCGTATGGGATGCCAGGACTAGCAGGTGGAGGATGAGCCTGTTGAGCCACAGCCCATGACTTTTTGTTTTAAAAAGCTGTGTCTGCCTTCTTTCTGTAGCCTGTGGATTTGGGGATGCTGGGGTGAGGGGACTCACATTGCACTTTAGTAGTAAATACCATTGAGACATTTTCTTTTGAAGATTTGTTTATTTGAAAGTCAGAGTGAGTATGAAAGATAGGCTCTTCCATCTGTTGATTCACTTCCCAAATGACTGCAACAGCCAGTGCTGGGCCTAATGAAAGCCAGGACTTCATCTGGGTCAGTCATATAGGTGCAGGGGCCCAAACACTGCTTTCCCAGGCACATTAGCAGGGAGCTGGATCAGCAGTGGAGCAGCCAGGACTAGAACTGGCACCCATACAGAATGCCTGCCTAGCAGATGGCGACCACCTGTTACACCGTAGAGGTGACCCCTAAAATGTGTTTAAAGATTACTTTAAAGTTTGACAGGCAGATTAACAGAGAGAGATAGAGAGAGATAGATTGAGATTGTGATCTACTGGTTTACTTCCCAAAAGGCTACAGTGGCTGGGGCCGGCCTGGCAGAGCCAGGAGCCTTCAGCTCCATCATGATCTCGCATGAGGACAGCAGAGGCGCAGGCACTTGGACCATCTGATCCTGCCTTCCCTGGTGCATTAGCAGGGAGCTGCATTGGAAGTGAAGTAGCCAGGGCTGGAACTGGTGCTCACCTGGCCTTGCAGTTGGGCCTGCCATGTCACAATGCCAGCTTTCACCCCTCTTCCCTGACCTGCCACCTACATCGTTTCTGAGACTTGCCTTTAGACCTTTTTCCTGTCTGCCCAGAACACCTTGTGATGACTCTAATGCAATGCTTGAGTGCTGTTTAGTGATTGCTGGTCAGTACATTTGTGGAAGGCATGGATTTTTACTGCATGTGCCTTACATGTAGGGTGCCCCCATGTATAAATAGTGAATGGAAGGGGAAACTATCTGTAAAGAGTTATGCATTGGACCAAAGGGTGCCTACCTGCGGATTCATTGACATCGTTGTGAATTATGCTGCTTAGACCTCGAGAACTCACAGTGTGAAAAGACCTGCTCACAGCAAAAACCATTATGAACCAATTTTTTCCCCAGGCAAATTGTAAACAAAGCTGGTTCCCTGAGAATCCACTCTGAATGATTTGGCAAGGACTCGTGTGTTAAACTTGCTAACTGCTTTTCATTGTAGAGACTTTCAGGAATAGAAAGGTGGAAAAGAATGAAAAGGCTTTCCAATCCAATATACACAACCCTTTTGTGCTTTGCTACACTAAGAGGCTTACTGGCATAAGTTGACAAACAGTTTCTCATATTCATAAAAGCACATTTATGGGGTAGCTTTGAATTGTACTAACTGGATCATGAATCTGAGGACAGCTGGTCTTTTTTTCTTTTTCTTATATTTTGAGAGGGGTGTACACACAC